ATATATATATATATATATATATATATATATGGAGGCTTATAATAATACCGATGAACTTTTACTAAGTATTACATTACTCAATAACTTTATATTAAATGTGAATTTTGTAAATCTATCCGTTAGATTTAAAGTTTTTTATTCTTATATCATATATATAAAGTTTTATATTAATTCAAAATGATTTGATACTTCATTTTTATAAAAAAAAAAAATTGACTTAATATATACATTTTAAAATATAATAAAATATGAACACTTTGATTACATTAAAGTTATTGGTCAATTTTAACAAAATTTGATATATACATCTAAAGTGATATGACTTTATAATTTAACGATTGAATTTACAAAATTCACATTTTAAAATATAACTTGTTTATATTGCATAAACATATTTTTAAAGATCTAAAGTGAAATATAAGTTGTTTATATTACATAAACTTATTTTTAAACATCTAAAGTGAAATTCATAATGCTAACTCATTTTAAAACTTATTTTGTAATAAAATATCTAAATATAATATAAATTTATAATTCAATAAACATGTATTTAATATATTTAATATATAAATTAAAAGCTAAATAAATGTATGTTTTTTTTATCAGTGATAAATATTATAATAACAACAATAAAATTTAAACTTGTAATTTTGTTTATATTTTTTCAATAGGTCAATTCTAATAGTTCAGATGTATAACTTTAATACAATATAATAAATTTTATATAATAATAATAATAAATATTTATTTGTTTTTATTAATTTATTTGAGTTCTAAAACCAGATAATAATAATAATAATTAATTTATTTATGTATATAAGCAATTTAAAACCAGATCGATCTAAAAAAATAAATCCCAAAGCAGATCTAAAAGGTTAAAATATTAAATTTTCCAAATGTAAATTGGAAAGATTCCTGTCTCTGAATCAATGGCTGCTTCCTTAATAAAATTTCATTTGTTTTTGTTTAAAAGAAAAGAAAATTATAGTTCCTTTGATTGAGAAGAATTATTAGTATTTAAATTGTTAGAAATGAAGAGAGTAAATATTACTTCAATCTCTACTGAATTTAAATTAATGAATTAATTATATAAGGTTGGTCGAAAAGGCGCGCGTGGTAGCTTTATAAAAGGCAAGGTTTGTGGCAGTCTCTCCAATCCATAAGCATCGACAACCAGAATCAATTCTTCGCTTTCCTTCTTTCTCATTCTTATTTCCTAACTAAGATGCCTGTTGACACGTCATCATTTTCCGGCCAAACCGTTTGCGTCACCGGCGCCGGCGGTTTCATAGCCTCTTGGCTCGTCAAGCTTCTACTGGAGAAAGGCTACACTGTCAGAGGAACCGTGCGAAACCCAGGCACGCACCCACGCACACGCAATACAAATTTCTTATAGCATGTGCTAATTAATTAATTAATTTATTTATTTATGTATGTTATGTTATGTTATGCATGCATGCGTGTTGCGTGTGTTTCAGATGATCCGAAGAATGTTCATTTGAAAGAGTTGGAAGGAGCGAAGGAGAGACTCACTCTGCACAAAGTCGATCTCTTCGATATTCACTCCATCAACGCTGCTCTTCACGGTTGCCACGGCGTTTTCCACACCGCGTCTCCGGTCACCGACAACCCTGTCAGTTTTCTCTTTCGCCTTTCCTTCGTTTTGCGTATCGTCGTTATGGTTTTCAAAATTAGCTGAGTTCATGGTTTTCTCAACGGTATCACTCTTTTTTAAAATCACTTGAGTTAAACTCAGCTGAAATTAAAAAAAAATTAATTATATTTAATAAACTTTTATTTTTTCATCTAAACATATATTTTTCTAGACGTGATTTTAAATTTATATTTAAACATAATAATATTATTTAATTATTTAAATTTAATTTACTTAACATGTCTTCAAGTTTCGTTTAACAACTTTTACTTTCAAGCTGGATTTAACTTGTAACTTTCGTGAAAAGAAAAAGAAAGTGTTTCTAGAATATGCACTATTTCTACTAAAATCATCTCGTTTGACATATATAGTTAATTTTTCTTATGTTTAATATATTTTTTATCCGGTTTCTTATTTTTAATATATTAGGTGTATGAATTTTTCAAAATTCTTAATTAAGTCATTAGATTTTTTTTTTAAAATTGTAACTAGGTCTTTAATTTTCTATAAATTTTATAATTAGGTCCATGAAATTATTAAATCATCACAAAATTGTTACTTTTGCGTCAACTTTAAGTTGATATAAATTATTTTAGAACTCAATTAACAAACTTATAAAAGATCCATAACTTAGTGATTACAATTTTTTTAAGTTAGAGATTTAAGTAAACAAATTCAAATCTATTAATGTATTAAACATTTTACTTATTTAAAATATTTAGATATAAAAAAAACAGAAAACAATCAAATTAAAAAAATGTTAGTTAACATTATTGTTGGACGAAATTTATTGAAATTATATTTTTATGAGTCTTTTGATTTAACGAATCTCTCTATAGTTTGTGTTTTTTAATAAATTTAATTTAATTTTAAACTATGATAAAGTGTGTGCTACAAAGTGAAATACTATGATTCCTCTTACAAAAATTTAACTTACGGTGTAGAATTAAAGGAGAACTAAAAGTAGTTAGTCACGTTTACGCTTCTAATTTCCGGCCCGGTATAAGGTGATTTTTAATGGGGTGGTTCAGACTTGGCGAAGCCATTAGAACTGTCTGTTTCGGCAAATTTTTGTAAATCTTAGTTATGAATATGACATTAGGATTTAGGAGTGTTATACGTCCCAACCACCAATTAACATTTTTTTATCTTCTTAACAAGTGGTCACAATCACACCCGCTACGTATCTCTCCCACTCACTACACATATTTCAACCCAAAAGAATATTGCTTTCTTAATTCTTAGTAAATTTGATTATACGGTAAATTAATTGGTGATAATTGATGTAAACAGCACTTTTACTTTCTTAAGCATTTAATACCCTCTTGTGGACCGCAGGAAGAGATGGTGGAGCCAGCAGTGAACGGAACCAAGAATGTGATCATAGCAGCAGCAGAAGCCAAAGTGCGACGCGTGGTGTTTACTTCGTCAATTGGCACCGTCTATATGGACCCAAACACGAGTAGGGATGTGTTGGTTGACGAATCATTCTGGAGTGACTTGGATTATTGCAAGAACACAAAGGTCAACACGTGCTCCCTCTCTTGTTGCTTACCAGTTCAATGACTTTAACAATAGGCCAATAAATTTGTGTTACGTGACCCTTTAGGTAGAACTAAGGCTCTTACTTTCATTAAAATATAAATATAACCCTTACTTTTTAGTCTCGTATGTAGCTGTAGTGCTTGAAATGGGAATGAGAATTTAATAATATTGAGTAATAATAATTAATGCAGAATTGGTATTGCTATGGGAAGACCGTGGCTGAACAAGCAGCATGGGATGTAGCAAAAGAGAGAGGGGTGGACTTGGTTGTGATGAACCCAGTTTTGGTTATTGGACCATTATTGCAACCTACCATTAATGCCAGTACAATTCATATCCTCAAATATCTTACTGGCTCTGCTAAGACTTATGTGAATGCCACTCAGGCTTATGTACATGTCAGGGATGTGGCATTAGCACACGTTCTTGTTTATGAGACACCTTCTGCTTCTGGTCGATACATATGTGCGGAAAGTTCCCTGCATCGTGGTGAGCTAGTTGAAATTCTGGCCAAGTTTTTCCCCGAGTACCCAATTCCTACCAAGTAAGTGTTTAGTATGTTTTTCCATTAGTAGTATTTTTATTTATTTATTAGTGAACAGAATCTATCGAATGGAAGGCCTCTATAAATTAAGGAAAATGGTTAGTATACACCTCAGTTTTAGGTTTAGTTAAATTTTTCGATAAAAATTAATTATTAAGAAAGTATAAATAATATAAAAGATAAAGTAGATATGTTTTTTTCAAGAGTAAATATATTATTGACCTATTATTGGTTGGGTGTGATACGTTTTCTTGGGTCAATATGTAGAATACAAATATACTACTAAAAATGCAGACATTATGGAGACGCATACAGAAAGGTATTGGGTCGTAGCCTCGTAGGTATACCGACTTTGACTTCTTGGTGTATTCCATTTCCAAGGAGAGTCGAGTCAAATTGAAATCCAAGCCTCCGAGTCCCAACAATTCAAAGCTTTCATAAGGAAAAAACGACAAGAGATTACAACTTTAAGGTTCAACCACCAAAGACTCTGTCGTTGTATTAATTAAAAATGAATAAAAAATTGAATCAAGACTGGGTAAGTGTCCTGCTTTCATATTTTGCATAGAAGAACATATCGTATAATAGGAATTAGGAAACCTACAACCCAAGACCAATATAAACACATATTTATTATTACATTATTCAAATTGTCAATGTGATCTTTTTTTTCTCCAGTATAATTTGTTTTTTGAAAAGAGTAATGTAACGGTAAAGCATTTACTATTTGGTAGAGCGAGTAGAACCTAACATAATGTTTGGCTAGTGCAGATGTTCAGATGAAAAGAACCCGAGACTAAAGCCCTACATATTTTCAAATCAAAAGCTGAAAGATATGGGAATGGAATTCACCCCAGTGAAGCAGTGTCTATACGAAACCGTTAAAAATCTGCAAGAGAATGGCCACCTTCCTGTCCCCCCAAAGCAAGAAGACTCATATTGATCCTCGTTAAATACTACCTACTACCTAGCTAGGTTGCAATATAACAGATTGATTAACTAGTTTAATTCTGATTTCTGATACAAAGAAGTAGTTGTTACATGATTTTATATCAAAATTATATAAAATCCTAAGTACTCGTACCTATTTTGAATTTGTAAGCCACACATCATGAAAATTATTGCCCTGTGTAAAACTGATAATATTAATGGATTTTTCGGCCTTTTATATTTTTGTTTACATCAAGTTGTTTTCCTTTTTCTCTAATCTTTACCTCCGAAGTCTAAGCAACTTTCCGTACAAGTTGATATTTGTAGAAATTGACATTCGATTGGTTATGTTCAATGAGATCCTGTATTTGGTAATGGAGATACATTTGCCTTCGTGAATTGGATCCGAGATATATAAAGACTGTATCCTCCAAATTAGAGGATAAATGTGTATATTAATTACAATCATTCATAACAGTGAGCCGTTGAATTTGTTATGACTTATTTAAACCAGATATATACTCATGTTATGTACGAATTATTTGATAATTCTTTTAGACAATGAAATTTAAACAAAAAATAAATTAATATTAAAAAATTAAGAAAAAACATATAAAAAAAATGGATGTCATGTCATCGATAGATTTCTAAGGTACATTGTTATTTATGTTTTCATTATAATCAACTCAAAAATATATGAAGATGTGCAAATAACTAAAATATGAAGAATATTTATGTTTATTATAATGTTAATATAACTTTTTATTATAATTAATTATAAAAAAATCCTTTTAAAAGTTATTTAAATTGCTTCAAACATAGCTCACCTCAAATATAAATCCTTCAACCTTTTTTAAGAAATGTTTACTTGTTAAAGAAGAATTTTTGTATCTCTTATCTATGAATTAGATTTTATAGCATAGAAAATCATTAGAAAAATAATTCATAAAATTAATGTCATGTATATACTTAAAGTATAAAAAAAATTGTAGAATGAAGAAGAAGAAAATAAAATATTGACTTATACCCTTACTCATTTTCTAAGTAAGTCGAAGAAGAAGAAAAATGATCAAAGAAAATTCAATTAACTTTCTCTTAAGAAATTTCTTGGGAATAGTCAATACAGTCATTTGACTCATATCTCATTGTCGATTCATCCTAATGTAAAGTTTACAACTCCAATAAAACATTAATAATGAGTAATGAAATATCATCAAACCTCCCTCATTTTGTATTTTAATACAATAAAGTCTTAATTTATGTGAGATGAAAAGAGTAATAAAAACAAATACTAAAGTGTCATTAAAACATGCTTTGCGTGTGTATATTTTAATATTAAGTAATATTTATGTTAAAAATTAATATTATTAATTTTATTAATACTTTTAATACTTTTAATAAATATTTCTTTATTAATTATTAATATTACTTTATAAATTTTTATGAAGAATTTTTTAATCAGTATTTTGTGAATTCAATTTTTTAATAATTTTAGTATTTTATATAAATATTTAT